CCCCCCCCCCCCCCCCCCCTGATAGATAACTTTATCGACCGAATGCTTTCACGCCCCTACATTCATTCTTACTGTCTGGTCCTTTTTCTTTCACAAATTGATGAACTTTCTTTCTTGAACAAACTGCGAAAACCAAAAAATCCGCTTATCAATCGTCCAAAGTCTTGTTGCAAAGAATCCAGGAATCGATACTATTTCCACGATCAACCTGCACTGAATTTATTCCGGCTTTACTTTTTGTTGGCTAAAGCCAACATCACCTGATTAAACTCATAAATTGCATTATTAGTAAAGTTCGGCCAGAAGTTGAGCTTGGGACCAAAATGAATAGGAATGTTTATTCAACCCATTTCTAATAAAATGAGCTTTACGGATGCCTCCATTATTAAATTGGGCCGAATAAGAACCATTGCCAATCGAAAAAGGTCTGCATGGATTTAGTTAAGGAGCGCTTCAACTAACACTTTTCAGTTTTAGCTCATTCAATTCGTCCGCCGTCAAGTATAACAATGAGGTTGTGGAAGATCTCTTAGCAAAATCGAAATAAGCGAACGTTTTACATTAAGTACATGACACTAGGCAATTCTTGCAATCAATTTGACCCTCTTTGAAACATCCTTCTCAAAGATGTCAGATGTTTCAGCGCGCAAATGTCATTAGAAAACTAGAACAATTCTATTAAATTACGTCGTAATTATGGCCTCAAGTCGGGGGACTGTCTGCGGGGTAGCCATTTGGTGACTTGCGATGGAATTGGGGGCGCGGGTCAACCAACAAACGTGCGCTCGCAACAAAACAACGCCGTTTGGGGGACCCGTTCTGGATGGGTTGGGGTAAGAAGTCATGATAGACGCATGAGTGAACAACGAGCCTGATGCCGGAGAGTACAGTCAACAGAGCAACGCGTCACACACGAAAACTAAGTAGAATGAAACCTCCCCACACAAGGAATAACTCATTAATTCTGAAAAATTCTCTTCAATACATTAAATGAGCCATAAGAATATCCTTGGCCAAGCAATGGCACATTAAATCAGCGCTCCACTCTAAGGAGAAGCAAAGGAGAATAGATGATGACTAGTTTTGACGTAGCAGTTAGTGACTAAAAAGCCAGCTGGAATTAATTAGAATACAGTACTTCTTGACACCAGGTTCGTGGAAAGCAATCCTGAAAGGAATGCCAGCATCCAGTCGATGATCGCCCGCATGAGCTTTCTGTGCAGATCTAACGTCCATAAAGCTCACAACGACGCCTTCGTGGGTTCGTTCTATCTGATGAACACGACCATAACTAAAACAACAGTTTTGGTTACCAAAAGTCCACATCTTTTTGTGACAAGCTACCAGATACAGACCTTGAAAAAAAGGANTTAATCCGTTCGTCAGAAACGGAGTCTGGAAGTCCAGACACATATACATGACGACTTTCGCGACCCATGTCACGGTTCAAGTGCGTCGAAGTTGTACCACGTGGCTGATTCTGGGTAGGTGAAGCAATAACGACTACCATTCTCCATGCAAATCTGGGTAGTGGTTAGCCAGCGATTACCAAAGTCATTAGTCTAAAGAATAGCAAAATACCACGAGAGATCTTCTTCAGCAGATCAGTACAGATATGTTGGTGCAACTAGAAAACATACATACACATACTATACAAGAAATACATTGGAATGAAAATCGAATTCGCAACAAAAAGAATGATGGGTCTAATTACTATACTACGATACTATAAGAGGTATAAGTTTAAGTTTATCAAGTAAACTACAGTATTAACGGGTACTTAGTTGTGCTCATCTGCTGGAGACTTCAACAGAATCCTACTTTGGTTGGATTCGTTTTCATTCTTGTTTAGTGAAAACCGAAAAATAACCCGATCCTGAACTGTACAGTTTCGAACAAAGCAATCATTTGGAAATAGGTCGAGGAGAAGAATGAAATAGGCATGAAAATCAAACATTCTGCAACCCCGGACCTTACATGGATAACGACTCAGGTCAATAAAGTAAAAGCCACTGCACGAAACGATACGAATTAGATTCCTGGACGTTGACTGATAAACCCAAGCTTAGTGAGATTAATATGGATGAAAAAAGGAGCTGCAAATCTGCACAAAGTCTCATGATAGGGCAAAAAATGGACTTGCACAAAACTTCTTCAAAGACATTACGTGCAAGCTATGTGGAACGAGGGGTTAACTAGATAGATTTGAGAAGGCTAATGAATTCACATCAACGTTGGTCCCCAGGTGCTATCACACTGTTATTACAGTGTTTCTCAGGGAAAGGTCAACGTCACTAGCAAAGGTCACCACCGCCTCTTTCGCCCAAAGACGAATGATGGCGAATTTCCATGAGGTTTCAAGTGGATCGATTCTGGTAGGTCAGAGCCTGAAAGCGATCATTGTGAAAACAGGGGGGGGGGGGGGGGGGAGGCTGGGGGTTTGCGACGACGAGACGGCGGCCGGCGGTGAGGATACCGAAAGAGCGCGTTTTTGCGTTCGGCGACCGCGCCGCTTGGCCCCTTGCGGCGCGGCCCACCACACCCTCCACTCAGACTGCCCCGGTGGGGTGCGGGTGTCGCTCCACTCTTTTCTGCACTGTTTCTGTTTCGACGACGACGACAACGACGACGATCTGTTCTCCGGGAAATGTACATCGAGCAGGACTTACTATCGCGTTTAATTCGCTCGCAGTTGGTGTGCAACGAATTTAAATTACGCAGCTTTTTAGCTGCGCATCAGGTCATAGAATCTGTCGGAGCCGTCAAGGTGATATTTTCCAGGGATCTGCTTTGTTTTCTCTAAATGCGATTAGCAACAACGGGGAAATCAGAGCAGGTTCCAAAAGCTAGCAGTCTAATGGCGGTTCTGTACAAATCACTAAAGACCTATATCCAAAATGAAGAAATTTACGTACACATCATCGCCTGTGAATCTTTCCATCCTTATCGCTTTCTGGCGGATATCCCACAGGGAGCACACAGATTTGAGCGTGGATCGCCGTTGCCCCGGTTGAGAGTAGTAAGATAGGACGGCTGTTGGGGGTCGCCGCGACGGCCTCGATCGATAAAAGCTGTGCGGTAGGCCGCGTCACACAGCCCCAGACATGCAGAGCATCTGCAGAGACAGTGTGCACGGAGAGAGACGCAGACATGCAATTGACGTAAGGGGGTCGAGCGCGAAGGCGACGCAGCGTCGATGCGTGGCTTCCCCGCCAAGGCCGAGTGGGCGCGGGGTCGAACGGAGGGTCGTCGGGGGACGATGGTTCTCGCCTTCCTGTGAAACGATGGGGGACGCGCATTTATTCTGCAGAATATGATAAATGTCAGGTTTGACAGACAAAAGAAAAAACCGAATGGGGAAGTTTGCTAAGGCGAGGTGAGTTCGCAGAGGTTGGTTGTTCCGTAAGTTCAATTTTGCACGTTGGAGATGACAATATATTGCATTGCATCGCGGGTGGCCTTCACAATAGTGTGTGGAGAAATGAAAAAGCAAAAAATTCGTATAATCGAAATTGCCACGAATTGGTACATCAGCGGACCCAAAACATGGTGGGTGGTTTCCCGATGAATGGTTATAAATTGTCAGAATTAAATACTGTAGCGAGAGGCTATTATATTGAAAGTTTATTGTTTCCAAAATGGCCTGAAAAGTACAGCACGTGGCGTTTCGAAATAATTTCAAGCGAAACGAATCGAATCATTAAATGAAGGGCCTGATTTATGGCACGTCAGCCATGAAAAGCCTTTTTTCCTGGCCCAACTGTTTAGCCACACCCTACACCTCACAACGCTTTTACTGAGTGGGATTTGTCCTGAAATATCGTTGTCTTTTAGGACAATTCCCATTTCCTTTCGTTCCTTCTGCCTAACTAGCTGATTCGGTCTTGTCCTGCTTTTCTTCCTACTACATTTTGATTCATATTGGGTCAGGTCAGTAAACTGAACATTCGATTTTTTGACGGTTCGGCTTCAGTGGGGAATCTTTGCACAGGAATACGTTTAATCAACGATCCACAAGGTACAGGCGTTTTCTGGCCCAACCAGTTCCCATAGGCTGCTTTCAGACCTCAACGATTCATCCGTCCGTCCGTCCGTCCGTCCGTTCGACGCGTGCTGCGACGGCGGCGCCTGACCGTTGTCGACACACTGGATCACTTGCCAGCGCTGTCAACACTACTCTAGCGACCGCCGTCGCACCACGCGCTGAACGGACGGACGGACGGACGGACGGACGGTCGTCGAACTCTGAAAGTAGTCATACATTCGCTATCGATCTAACGATAAGTGCATCTTAGGTCGATAACGAATAGGTGGGAACGTCTGGGGGACTGGCGTGTGCCATATTTCTCCTTTATTCAGGCAATCGAAGAGCTTCTGGGAGTCCCATCAAAAATAGGAGATTTCTCATTGAATCATTGAAGTTAAATAAACTGTTCTTTGTTAAATAACTGAGTTTATTTGTTGCGTGACTTTCTGTACCGTAAATAATCTAAATAAAAATTGGACGAGTTTGATTGACGAGGAGCATGACAAAAGACCAGAGAAGCAGAGAGTCCACAGATTGTCCTCTACGTGTCTGCCATTCGACCTTTGTCCATCTGTCTCATTGTCAATCACAACAGGCTTTGTCATTGCTTTGTGAAGCAATCCTCATATTACATCTTATGCCCCTGGTTGGTTTTTTTTGTGGTCTTTAGGTTCGTTTTGAACAACCATGCCTGTTCACTTGCAGCAGAAAGCCGCGTCATGTGATCGGTACTGATCAACGAACGGTTTGTTCAAAGATCTGGTTAGTTCATCTGCTTCAGTGGTTTCGCAGAAGTTTTCCCTGCTTTGAATTATTCCAGACGAGTTACAAGATGGAAGGGCTCGTAATTCACTTTGCACCCTCTGTGTCTCTGACATTCAAACTTAGTTTCTCTGTCTCAGCCTTGTTCATAAGTTCCCTAACTAGGCCGCTTGGGTTTACCGAGGAGATAGCCGAGTTGTATGGCTTACACGGATGCCCACCAATCTGCATAATTTCTCTATTGTACCACAAGCAGGATTGACTAGCCCAGACACAGATTTGACCTAAGACCTCCCACAGTCCTCTGTGGCGTCAACTTATATTTCTACTTAAATCGATTGTACCAGTTTTTTAGCCAGAACGGCGCTGCAGAGCGTGCCAGGTGCACTTAGCTGCTGAGCGCCGGTAATCCCATCGCGGTGACGATGTGCAGCCCCGCACTAGGCCTGGCAACAGTAACCATGTCAATCTCTCTCCCATCTCTCTCCCATAGGGACTAATAGCCTATTCGCGATTAGGCCATATGGAACACTGCGGGAAACGGTAACGTGCTTTGCGAGTAAATGTGTATATGTGTTGTCATGGTATCAATGGAATAGCATATTGCATATATTGCTCGAATTAACGAGCCATTGGTATGGTTTGTAGCTCCCGCCCGTTATTGCGAAGCTCCACGAATGCAGTGGGGAATTCCAAGGGATCGCTTCGTTCCGCATGTTGGCGGCTGGCTCAGCGTCGGGTGTAGATTACATGTCAGACTGAGCAAACAATAGCGATGATGAATGTTCCGCCGCTGAAATCAATGGGAGAAGGAAG